TCTCTATTTCGATCTATCTTACTTCCACTATATCCTTATCTCTCTTCCCCCCCCCACCCCCCACTCCCCATCCTGCCCTCAAATAGATTGTATTTAGCATTACTGATTAATCAAATAGTTAATCAACAGACTTCTGAGTACCAGAAGGAGTAGTTGACAGAATATTATTTGATCAAATGATTAATTGATGGAAAAGGGATTGATTGATGAATAGTGGTTAATTTTTGCAAGAACTTAGAAGACTGCCTGATCATAGGTTAATAATATACTGTGTCAAGTGATGTGTCGATCATACATTGATGTTGACTGATCACATAATATACTGTGTCAAGTGATGTGTCGATCATACATTGATGTTGACTGATCACATAATATACTGTGTCAAGTGATGTGTCGATCGTACGTTGATGTTGACTAATCACATTCTCCCCTGCATTCCGCCCCCGCACAAATCCACAGTCAATACTTCTGGACAGATGACAAGGGTAAGAAGAGCAAGAACACTGCGCCCCAGTACGTGGACTACGTCATGACTCACATACAGAAGCTCATCAACGACGAGTCCGTGTTCCCCACCAAGTTTGGTATGTGTGTCAAGTCTGGCATTACGTGTGTCCACTGATGTGTCTCACTGTTTGATGTGTTGTGTCTCGCTGTTTGATGGGTTGTGTCCACTGATTTTGTGTGTCTTGTTTTGTCCATTTATATGTTATGTCCACTGACGTATGGTATTGTGTCTTGTTGTGTTCCTCTGATTTGTTGTCTCTTGTTCTGTTGTTTTGTCCACTGATGTTGTGGATGGTTGGAGGGCGCCACTGGTAGGGTCCACTTCTTTTCCCTCCCTCTGTTGTTTCTGCCTATCTGTCTTGCTTCTTCCCTGCACTATATGACCATTATTGTGTCAACGTCCTTCTCTTTACTCAAACCAACACCCCCTACCCCCCAGGGCAGTGCCACTGACTTAAGTGTCTTGAAACCATTCCCAAAGGGAGGACATTTCTCGTTCTTATGCACAGTAGAATTGTAAATGGGCTGATTCAACAATGTCATGCTCATAACTGTGCCTGAACTACAACAGGGAACTGCTTCTTTTTCTTCCTAATCCTTACTATCGTCATTTTCCTCTACTTCTTTTGTGTATGTTTGTTACACTATTGTGACCCGCTATTTCCGGGGTACCTTGAAAGTCGAATCAGACTTTGTCCTGTTGAAGCCAGAGAGGTGAGCAGAGTAAGCCTGATTCCCTGTAAAGACTTCTCTGTTGACCTCCACCCCTTGGTGCTCATATGACTTTATGCAGTTGCGAGCGCCGTAAAACCTCTACTGAATAACATAAAAGCTCAAAACACTGATGGGTTGTGTTCTCTCATATATTTATATAAATAAAAATATATGTCGTCCGATATAAATAACTACCCATCTCTCTCTCTCCCCAGGCCACACATTCCCGGCCGACCTGGACGTGACGGTCAAGCGCATCCACCGGTACCTGTTCCACGTACTGGCTCACCTGTACCACGCCCACTACCCCCTGCTGCGACAGCTGGGCCTGCACGCCCACCTCAACACGCTCTTCACCCACTTCATGGTGTTCACCTCCAAATTTGACCTAGTCCAGGACAAGGAGTCGGATCTCCTCCTTCACCTCTTCTCGCTCCTCCTCAAAAACTTGGCCGACCCCAGCCAGAACCCCAAGCTGAGGGAGGGTCTGGGTTTGGGCCCGCCTGAGGATTCCGAGAAGAAATCTGCGCCGGCCTCCTCCACTGCCCAGGATGCGCCTGGACAAGAGACCAATATGGACACGTCCGGTGACTCGCGTATACCCTTGTCTATGGAGTTATCCTGCGACGTCAGCTCTCCCTCCTCTCTCCCCTCCACCCAGATCCCCAACAATGCTACCGCAACGACGAACAAGTCGACGACGCCCTCTTCCTCCTCCTCCCCTCCCTGCCACGGCACGGCGACGGAAGGACGCATCAGTAACGGAGGTACAAGCCTCCCTCCCTCTCACCCAGTCTGTGATAACACCAACGACCTGGTTCCGGCCAAAGACGCTGCCGCTAAAGACAGTTCCCACAGGCAGACTGACCCCGGGTCACTCTATTCCTCCAATGGACTTCAGAAGAACCCCCCTTCCTCCTCCTCCCCTCCTCCCGGCAACAACACAACCTCCTTCATCTCCTCCTCCCCTTCGGTGGTTGACACAGAGCCCACGTCCTCCTCTCCCTCAGAGTGGCTGGCTAACCTGCAGGTCTCCGCTACTTGATGATCCCCCCAGGCGCCTTTATGGCCTAGACCTTTGTAGGGTGCGCACACAGTGCCATGTGTCCAGGTCAAAACCCGTTTGATGGTGTCATGCCACTGTGGTGTGTCATGATGCGATTGACGTTGTGTCATGCCGCTGTATGTGTTATGATGTGACTTAAAGTCATGAAGCCAATCTGCTTTATGCCACTTTGAGTCTCGTGACTATGTACCATGATGTGACTATGTGTCGTGCCACCTTGTGCGTCCTGATGCAACTTTGCGTCATGCTAGTTTTGGAATTCGTTGACGATAGCCTCAAGTTCTCTGCAGGGTTTGGTTGGTTTTTTTTACGTCAACTGACATGAGAGTGTCGCTGCAAGAATCTTTTGACTCGGGCATTCTGGCATTGTGTACACGCCCTACCGACCCCCACACCCGTGTGACCCCTGAACCCCCCCGGCGGTCAGTCTGGGGGGTAGGGTCTGCTGCATACTCGATCTTTCAATTAAGTTTTCCCATGTCATGTTTTCATTGAAATAACTCGGGCAAAAGTAAAGAATAGCACCCTTTAGTGCCCACTCCATCCCGCTCCTGCCTCCTCCTCCACCTTTTACACATCTATTTTCAATTGTCATTTGCGTACTCCTTGCTATTCTGTGTGTTAGATAACACTTTCTTATTTTTTGGTGAAATGTGGCCGTTATGGTGTTCACTGCAGATTTAAGTTGTGTCTAACTGTATAGCTTTACCCTGGTCTTTTTTTTATTGCTTGTGTCATTTCAGTCACATCATCGTCATTTTCATTTTCATCCTGATCATTGATTGTGTTTGTAATCATTGCCATTGACTTAATCATAATCATCATCATCATCATCATAATCATCATCATCATCATCATCATCATCATTATCATCATCTCTCTGCAGAAGAATCCTGACGACCTCGGCTTAATTCACATTCACATGATTCAGATTCTAGGTCGTCTTTTATCTCTGCTCGTCTTATCCCCATTCCCTCCTCCATTTCGTAATTCCCCCTCCCTTCTTAATGCCCCCTCTCCACCTGACCATGGTTCTAGGTGGTTATTCCCCCCCCCCCTCACCCTTTCCACCATAGCCCCCCTCCACTTCTCCTTGAGCCTTCCATTTAATGTTCACAAGGAGAAAGAGAAAATGATGGAGTAGAGAGGGAGAGAGACAGATTTCCCCAACTCTGTGTCCCCGATTGTCTTCCTGTTTGTACTCACAGATTGTCCCGTGTCTCGCCTGTCAGGGAAGTTTCTCCGCGCGTCTGATGGACGTGCGTGTCGTGTGTTTGGTGGATGTGTAGTGTGTTTTGCGGAGGTGTAGTGTGCGTACCGGACACACTTCTTTCGAGTTCACGTTGTCCCTCAGGGATAGCACATCATGTAGCATCCCACAGCTGGAAGTTTTTGTCGAACTCGTTTCTGAAGGAGTTTTATGGGGGGTTTTTTATTGTTGATGAGATGACCTATTTTCTAACTGGGGATTTTTCTTTTCAGCTTCTGATCTTCATCTCATTTTGTCGTACTGAGCTACTTGCAAATAAGGTCACGGGAAGGGGCAGTGGTCACTGTGCTCCATCCAGGATGTTATTACTGTACATTGTAGTTAGGTCTGATTTGTCGTTTGTCTGGTGTCAGTGACATAGGGTGTAGGTTGGAGCACAATGGAAAACATGCACGTTTAGGCAGGCCAGCAGTGGCTGTAGTATTTGCTTTTTCTCGTTCTTTATCTTTCTGACTGAATTTGATAGAACTATTTCCTTTTCTCTCTCTCTGTCTCTCCCTCTCTGTCTCCTTCTCTCTTTCTCTCTCTCTCGACGTCTTACCCTCTGACTGAATTGGTTAGGATTCTCTGTCTGTCTGTCTCTCTCTATATATATCTGACTGAATTTTTAAGGACTATCTCCTTTCTTCTCTACACATCTGATCAAATTTATTGAGACTCTCTCTCTCTCTCTCTCTCTCTCTCTCTCTCTCTCTCTCTCTCTCTCTC